TTGATTTGGATTTTATGGATGTTGAGCCGATCAGGTCCGGGGATGAATTGAGGGCGAACGTGATTCGGTGTGTGTTTTGCGTGCGTGAGAAACCGTGCGCCGTGCGTGCGTGAGATAACCGTGCTCAACCCGGGAAAAAAAAAAAAAAAAAAAAAACGTAAGTGCGCGTGAGAACCGTGCGGCGTGCTGTGCGTGAGAACCCGTGCGCGCAGTGCGTGCATGAGAAACCGTGCCGCTGTATCCCTCGTGTAGCTTGGCCGCCGTGGCGTGTTGGCTTTCGCGATGCAGTTAATTCGTATTATTAGGTTTTGTAATCGATCGTACAAGTATGATTTGATGAATTTGTAACTATGGCGATGGTAGCGATATTTTCTGGAATTCGATGAGGTTTTTACGCGGATATGTACGTCTGTAGCTGTCCTCATACTAGTAGGTCGTCGTATCGGCTGATAGGGTGGGAGGGTTATGTATTCGATCTATAGTCTGCGTTAAATTTATCGTTGTAGCTTAGTTATTAATTATTTGCGTTGGAAAGCGACGTTGGTCACAACGATGTCTACTAATCATTTTCATGGCACGGGTATTGGTCAATAGCAGGCGCATGTATTCGTTATGTGTGCGGCGACGGATAAAACTGCGTCGTGTTAGGTATTCGTCAGTAAGACGCTATCTGGGTCGTGTAGGTGGTGGCCGAGTCGAGGAGTGTATAGAGAGTGCGAGTGTATTTGGTAGGTGTCATATATTTTAGAGGGGGGGCGGGGTATATATATTATTCAACTAGGATGTTAAATCTTGTAAATATATATATAATATATATTCAACCTATCTTCCATCTGGTAGGTCCACTGCGCCTATAGGTCGGTAGTCAGGTCGCAGCTGGGTCATAATCCTGTGGTAGGTTTCTCCATCGAAATTCGGTGTGATGTTGGATGAAAGGTGGTGTATACGTCTGTACTGTGCGTGTGTATGTCGGTACGTCACATGTATTATTGTTCGTGGATTAATATTTACGTGTGGTAATGTTGGCAATGCAGGTTTACTTTGTATTTCACGTAATAAACAAATCAGCTTCAAATTTGAAGCTTTTTTGATTAAAAGAACGTACATGGCCATTAACAAGCGTACATGACATGTTATCGAGAAATCACTGATACAAAGTGTTTTTCAGATACTTTTTTATAGTTGTGTATTTTCTGTGATACCAATTGTTTTAACGAAATCCAATGCATTGTGCTGCTTTGGATGTTCTTATCATTTTTTTCTTTCCTCCTCCTTTCCAATTTTACCTCCTCTTGTGTTGTTTGGTTTACTTCCGTGTATTAGATGTCGCTGGCGTGCGTACGTGCGTGATTGTCTTGTTTGTAATATACATTTACTATAGGAGATTGAAATACACATAATATAGTTACTATGCGTTTATTAGATCGATGTTCAAAGCATGATTGATCACACATATGCTATTAAATTTCGCGATTGTATAACGTCACACGTTGATTAGGTACATTACTATTCAACACAAACTGTCCATCGGTTGTATAGGTAAGAGTTTCACGCTTTCCAAGCCATTCATGTTCCAGCTTTCAATCTTGGAAGAAGCTGTAAGTTGAATTGCATTTGTTGGCATTTCATACTGCCAGTTAATCGTGTACTGTGTGTCGCGTTTTCACAGAGCGCTGCTACTGAGCTTTAAACACAATGAATAGAAAACTGTGTCGAACTACATGAGGTGAGTGCGAGTAAGCAAGAAAAAATACCGAGGGGTAAAGACAAAGGAATATATAGAATGCAGCAGGTTACTGGGTAAGGACGAGAACGTTGGAAGGACAGTAAGCAGTAACCTAGCCTTTACTATGGACAATGACTATCATATATAAGGTAGAAGAAGAGCGTGGGGTCCACGCCTTCGATCCCAAAACAGCTGGCACGGGAACTGTTAGGTGCCCCAACCTATATGCGAGGTATTAAACTAAGGGGGGAGTGGGATTGTTCACGTTTGTGAAAGAGAAACGAAAGAGCACACCTTAAATATTTAGGAAATTAGATGAAGGAATATATTAGATGCAAGATGAGGAAAATTGCGGGGATAGCGTAAAGCTATCAGTGCAGGAATTTTTAACGTCTGATTGGAATAGGACGAGGTAGAATGCGCTGGGGGGGAAGGGATGACAGGAGGAGACGATTGATGATAATAGGCGGGCGCGAAGAAAACAGCGACTCATGAACATTATCGGTGGGAATATTATAAAAGGCGGGGGAGACAATGTAGTGGAGAAAGGATGGTGGATAAAAGAAACTAGAGCTATGTAAAGGCGCACAATCATACATATTATGGAGACCTTTCTCCTATTTATTGATATGTGCTGCCTTTTTAGATAGCTCCTAGCTGTGTATTTATTTCCTCCTCTTTCTCCATATGATTGTGACTGGAACGATCTTGCTCACGCATACTGTGAACGAAGAACGTTTATTGATAAATAGAAGGCTGGGAAACACGAGAATCATGGACAATACGTGTGAAAAAACTCTTTCTAAAGGCAGCCAATCATATGGAGAAAGGGGTGGTAATTAAAGACATAGAGATATATAAGGGAAAATTTCAAGAGAACCTTTTTACCATATATATCGCAGTTAGCTGCAGTACAATGTAGAGCGGGATGTTCCCCCGTAAATAAAGACCAGCGAGCATGAGTTAGTAGAGAAGAAATTTGCCTGTTGTGAATAAGGGGAAGAACAGAGCTAAAGGCATTATCATGTTAGTTGTTGCCCGCATTATCAAACAATCACCTAAGGAAGATTCTGTGGGGACAGGCTCAAAACGTTGCGGGTACCATGGCCACGCTTTGGGAAAAGGCAGGTGTGCTCTTCTTGGGGCTAATATATATATATATATATATATATATATATATACACACACGTTTACCTATATAAATAGGCGCAATAGATACAATAGTTATACTATAAATAGATTATTACTATAATTACTATTATTACTATAAATAGATACAATAGTTGCATTGACAGTATTAGCTTTTCTTACAACATGTTAGAGCTGTGTGGCAACAGAACTGCAAAATGCACATATATACAGTATGAGAAACAGCAAAAAAATGACAGAGAGAGAGTAAACAAAATGATCATATCAAAATAAACAAGAAATTTGAACAAAGGTGAACACAAAAACAAACAAACTGTATAGCAACAAACAAAGCTGCAAAATGCACATATACACACTGTTGAACACAGGCAAGAACCATATTACACAGTAATAGTTACATGGACAGTAATCATACAACAGAATAGAATCGTGAGCAAAACATAACTGAACAAGTGCCGCGGAGCGACAGCGCTTATCTCACGTCTACTGCGGTGACTCTGTGGTGGAGTGGTGGGATTTTAGTAAACCCTTTTAGTCCCAAATGTGTTCACATACATGCCGAAACAGTGGAAGGCACAGGGATGGTATCAGGAACCTTCTCAAAGGAATGTTCGTTGGGATCGTTATAAAAGTTGCCACGAGATGGCGCGTACGTTTAAGTGTCTTAAGATTAAAGATGGAAGCTCCCATCGTACGTAGTAGCAACAACTATTTGCAAGACAGAATAAGTAAGGACTCTATTTACTATCCATTTACGCTGATAGGGTCTATGTCCCCCAGGGTACTGCCGGAACGTACCCTGGGTACGGTCCAGTATACCGGAACGTACCCTGGTAACTATCTAGCTGATATGGTTAGGGTTAGGCTTATGGAGTAGGCGTAGACGACTCCCTAGACTCGTTAGTGGAGTAGGCGAGGTACGGTCCGGCATATTAGATAGTAGTATTTAGGCTGATAGGGTCTATGTCCCCCAGGGTACTGCTGGAACGTACCCTGGAACTAAATATTACTATCTAATATGCCGGACCAAACCTCGCCTACTCCACTAACGAGTCTAGGGAGTCGCCTACGCCTACTCCCTAACCCTAACTCTAACCCTAACCATATCAGCTAGATAGTTACCAGGGTACGTTCCGGTATACCGGACCGTACCCAGGGTACGTTCCGGCAGTAACCTGGAGGACATAGACCCTATCAGCAGTATTTAGTACCAGGGTACGTTCTGGCAGTACCCTGGGGGACATAGACCCTATCAGCGTTAGTGGAGTAGGCGAGGTACGGTCCGGCATATTACTATTAGATGGTAGTATTTAGTACCAGGGTACGTTCCGGTATACCGGACCGTACCCAGGCAGTACTCTGCCCGGGGACATAGACCCTCTCAGCCTTACTTAGTACTTAGTACTAGTCTAGGACAGACCGTCTGCATATAATAAATTAGGCCGTGGCTATGTGACCGGTTCCGGACGAGGAGCCGCTAGGCTACGCGTCCACCCTAGAATCATTTGGCAAGGATATTAGACTTGATTGTTAGTATAAAATTTCCATGGCAAGTGAAAACAAAATTTATCTTAAACTATTGCGAGATTTTTGCTCAGAAAAAATAAATATAGCTGAATATAGTCTCACCTGACAGCGGAAATATCACTGATTACACCAACATTAAAAATACTAAGATTTTATGCAGTTATAGCATAGAAAAATGGATTTGACCACATCGTAACAGCAATTTTATCGTATGCCAATAATGCCTAATGGCAGAATTGGTAAACTTGTATTTGTGTCGGTGATGAATTGAAAACAAGTGCATGCCTGTACTATGTCTACGGCAGATAAGCGGTGGCGCCACAAGCTAATCCATACTTCCTGTTAGTTCAAGATGACAGAAAACAAATGTTTACAAAAACGATTAGTTCGAAACTGGCAGTTTTCGGTGAATACGAAGGTTCTAAGACATTTTATTGTTACTCTAGTCTAGACAATTGCTGTTACTCAAGCAATAACGGTAGGTGTCATGAAATTGGTGAAAACACTGGAAAACTCTCGCAATAATTACTTTAAGATGACATACCAAAACATGAATGGGCACTTAAGCAAACAATCTTAACACGCTTGTACACGTACTATTTGCAGCGTCGGTTTCTGAAGATATCCTTATCTCCAACTTCTTCGCCGTCTGACCGGTTGGCAGCTCAAACACCTCTTCCGGTTTCGAAACGTGCCCACTAGGTGGAGCTTCAGGCATTTTGATGAGCTGCTGCAACCTCGGTCGCTTAGCGATTGGCCTCGCCTTCCTTCTCGCTGGCCGTTTTTGCAAAATCGGTACGACCCTGAAAAGGTCGCGTTGCATTTACACAGCGCCACATGACATGCTGACGTGTGAGCTACAGGCAAAACAGTTGACTGACACTGAAAATTGTCATACTGTGGTTTACTTGTATGTATTGCGTTTCAAATCGCATACATGCTACCAGAAACCCCAGTAACTAATTGTCGTACTGTAGTTTACTTGTACGATGTTGTATTGTGTTGCTGAAGTGCACATGTGCCATATTGTACTGCACTGCATTTCGCATACATGCTGTGAGAAAATTGTGTGCAATTCGCTTACGTAGAAGCAATTCGCGGATCGCATCACAGTGCACGTTCTCGCATACGAAGAACAACGAGCAAGTTCCCCATTCCCATTATCCCGTAATGTTTTTGAATGTGAAGACAAGACGCCATCGATCAATCGTCCATCGACAAACCATAAAAGCTGCCGCCACCTCCCCGAGCTAGCTTAGCAAACGCGAGAGCCAAAATAACGCTTCACAGTGTGAGGCCTTTAATCTTGTTGTAAATAACAATACAGCTGTGCAATTTAAAAGTTCATTATAAAGTTGTTTGTACGACCGACTATTATGGATGCAGTACTGCTCGTACTGTCGGGGTGTACCCTGATTTTCCCACATTCGTCCATAAATTATACTCTGCCGGAATCAATGTATATTCGTCTTTTGCGCGGGGCCACAAGCCCTTTGCTCGCGTTATTCCAAGGCTGACCCTACTCACCCCGTTCCCTCCCACACAATACCACACACACATACTAACCGATCAGGCTTATCACGCCTCTCGCCTTCGCTCTCCAGCTCGGAACTTTCCGGAGAACTGCCGAGTTCCATGTCCTCTGCCTCCTGTCTTCCTTCGAAAACTTCCTGCCCTAGAGGCTGGAAAGAGAGTTCAAGCATCGCGGTTGGTCTACGCTACGCTGCGAAAGTGCTCGTGATAATGTCCTCGCCGCACGTAACATTGCTAGAGAATCTTGATATGTGTTCATCGCCTTTCGTAATAACATTACGAACGACTTTGTAAGTTATAACAAAATAACGATAAATCATTGACCTGTTGACGGCCATTTCAACCACCAGTCGAGCTGTCTCTGTCAAGCTGAATGAAGTCGCTTGGGAAAGTGTTACCAGAGAGAGGGTTAGCTACTCGAGTGCTGGTGTATCGGCTGCAGTATTCCCTGATAACACGGTGTGAATGGTATTTGGTGTGAATCTTTAACTACTAGAGGTTAGTATAAGTTTTTCCAGCACCCTCTACCTACCACGTCCGGGGTCGCTGTGATGACGCTGAAAGGTGCAGGAAGATTCATCTTGTTCATCAGATGCAGCACCTAATGAAATATCAGAACAGCTATCCTATCTGAAGCAAGTAGCCGAGTTATGCACATTAGGCAATGCTTAGCCATAATGCTAAAACTAGCCCTACATCAACCCTGATCCGAACCATAGTCATGGAAGCTAGATAGAAACGGGTGCATTTGTTATGATTATAGTAAAGCTTGCTATAAACTTCACGGTGATAGTTGCAAATGGAAATATATGCATGTTGATACTGACAGTAACATCACTTCATTTTTATATTAGTTACCTGCGTGTAGAACCTAGGTACCGATGCCAGCGCATTAGCTATATTGGTGAGTATCGTCACATTTGGCTGCGGATATCTGTATCGCAACCTGGCACTGGCTGCATAAGTAAGACTGAAAGCAAACACAACACTGCTTTATCACTAAAGAGTTCATCTGAAGGGGTGCAAGTGTAATTTAATAGTGACATGATGAAATTTGTAATTATTTTCTTGCCATAGTCGTTGCACTGGCCATTAGGATGGTGTAGCAATGCACACAAAATCACTCAGAAATTTCTACCAGCAGATGGCGCCACCTACCCCAAGTGGGGTGCCACAGCATCCAGTTTCTTTTGTAGTTCTGTTAGGCTGTCATCAACTGTGTCCCGTTTCTTCTTTTTCTTCTTCTCTACCTCACTCACCTTGGTGTCTTTGAGTGGGTCTAATCTGATTATCAAATGTTGTCAACTGTCAGTGATTTTATCTAAATATAGTTGCAAATGCATATTATCTCAAGTTCTCCTCTCATAAAAATATAACACATGGTTAAAATGTACTTCAATTATGACACATTATTTATGCAATAAACGAGACAATTATTGTTTTTCTGTTCCCCAAAGAAGTGCTTGTGTGGCTAACCTTTGTTAAAGTTTTCTTTTTATTGTGAATAAAATATTGCTCCATTGTCACAGGGGTAATAACAACCTTTTGTACTCTGACTCAGACGGCACAAACTCCTGATGCTGTTGCTTAGCATATTCCACCACTAGTTTGTGCCCTAGTATTTCCAACTGGTGCAGCCGTTTTATAGCCTGAAAAATACCAAACATTAAAGTAAAGTAAAGTAAAGTACAGCCCTCTACGTAGACAGAAATACCGCCTCTACAAATTCAGTGTTAGCAGTCGGTGACCGTGTGAAGATATATAACATGTCATAACTTGCTTGTTACCTCGATCCCACTCTAGCCTTGACATAGCATATAGTCACTCTGGACAGGATTAGTACACTTGAAAGAATCTGCTTCATTGCTTACAGGAATATGTATGTACCTGACACACATATAGGGTCCACAAATTTTACATTTATAAATGAATAAAGTTAGCATTACGAAATTTACCTTGCAAGCTTCCTCCTCACTGGGGAAAGTGGCAAATGCTGTATGTTTCTGGAAAAGAATAGTTTTTATTTCATCACTTAATGAAGGTGTTATTATTAGTTGGCATACACCCGAGTATAATTGTACAACCAAGCCTTTATGTAAACTTACATGCTTTTACATTAAACATCACTCAAAGACTTGTGCCCCTTCTAACCATATGATGACAGTTGCAAGAAATTGGAAGCAATCTTGGTCGTTTATTATGTACTTCTTATGTATACGTTACCATTCGTCCAGTGGTTCCCATGCACTTGACGCATTTTGCACCAAAATGTTTCAGAAAGTCTTCTTTTTCTTCAGTGCTCAAATCTGCAGGAAGGTGGCGTATTATCACCACACGACTGGTCGTGTCGATCAGATCAGCCATTGAGCTATAAATGTAAATTAGAGCTAACTGCAACAGATGTAGAGTGCAACCAGAACCAGAGCATATTTAATTAATTGAACAAGTGGGGGTGGGGGACCGATACAAGCAGGGCGGGGGAGGGGGTGGGGGAGGGGAGAGGAGGAGCGGGGGATGGTGGGGGGAGGGGCTCTAATAGCAAAAGCAGTTCAGTCCTTTGTTAACACCCGTCAACAAATCCATGTTTAATACGCCTCCTTGAGGGTCAAAAGGTTATCCGACACTATACTATTCGCATGTGCAGCGGAACAGTACATTTCATGGTCCGCTTTCAATAAAGCCATAAAAATGGTGAGTCAACGCGGCTGAAATAGCTGAAAAAAGTTTTTGACCAATCGGCTCACGTCAGAGCCAAGTCCTCAAGAAAATGTCATAAAATCTGCCCTGTGCCCCAATGTGACCGACTTTAACAGCTGTGACGCTCCAATTTTCGCGGCAGCAGTGATGGCTTTTCCTACCATGATGCTATACACCGACTATCACGAGCCTAGGTCAAGCCGTTTAGATTTGTCCCGCAATTCTGCATTTCCTCCCTATACCTTAAGTTAAGGAGGGAATGTTCCCCCTTCTTTTACACCTCTTCAGTGGAAAAAATACACAGGGGCTCGGGGCGATTTAGCCCCCGAAATGCCAAAAAGAACACCGGAAATGCCAAAAAGAGCCCCCGGAAATTTGCATAGAGTTCAATGAAAACCAAATTTTAGAGTGCTATTTTCATCCAACGCGAGCTTGAAAAGTAGCCCCCGAAAAATAAATTTTATTTTTTTCTTTGCACCTCTTGACCTTTGACGCCCAGCTTCGACATCCCAACTCGTTTTCGGATTACCCCCACACGCCCACAATATCGTGACCGTACGTCGAGCGGTTAAGATTTGTGCCCAACTGTTGACGGATGCACGGACGCACGCACGCACGGACGCACGCACGCACGCACGGACGGACGGACAATCCTGCGATTCTACAAGCTGCATCTGACTATGTCAGATGAGCTAAAAATACAATAATTAAAAGCACTGCTACTGTAGAGGGTGTCGCCAGTAGACACCAAAGGCGCTTTTCGCCTACATTTGTTTCGCACTACTTCACTTTTCTAATATTTAATATTTATTAGCATCAATTACAGTGTTTGCTGTTTTGTGTATAGCGTGAACAAATTGATTCAAAATTCATGATGTTTATTTGTGCATAAGTCGTGTATATACAGTGTATAGCAGCAAATAGGAAATATACAAGTCATTGTTAACCTAGTTTACAAAGGAAGCACAGGTGAGGCGAAAGAACCCGCAGGTTATCAAAGTCTGCCACCCCTCAAAGGAAAATATATAACAAAAATATAGTAGGCAGATGGGTCATTATTATAATATACTTGGTTGCCCAAGTGGGTGGTGAGCATGGGAAACCGTAAAAACATGACAGTAAAAATGATCAAAACATATGAACAATAAAACTGAATAAAGGTGAACAAGAAACTAAACAAAAATGAACAAACGGAATGAGCAGAACAAAACAGGCAGAGCTCTAAGTTACATCTGTACAAAATAATGTATGAGCAATAGGTGTAATAAACAGTAGTTTATACTTAATTATATATATATATATATACAGGGTTCTCCAAGCTTTTTCATTATAGCATGGGGGATGGGGGTGCTGCCTTTACGGTCATAGTTGCAAATCGCCGAAGGCGGTTTGCGTGGTAGGGGGTCCAGGGGCATGCCCCCCCCCCGAAATTTTTTTTGATTGTAGAAGCTCTGAGATGCAATCTGGGACACTCTGTGTGTAAATTTGAAGCACTGCATGTGGGGTGAAAATGTTTGTTTTGCATGGGCAAAGCCATCGAAAAATTCAAAATAATAATAGAATAACAAGAGCCGCAGAGCGTCTGGGCTCATCTGAGGTCTGTTGCTACGGTTATAAACGTAACATTTAAGT